TGCAAAAGGCAGCTTTACTTGGAACAGCTTCTATCCTGCAATGATACCTTTAACACCATCAAACATCTGCCTATCCCAGGTTCTTGAAAAGGATTCGATACATAGATAAAAATGCCAATTCCAGTCTAAACATCTGGCTGACTGTGCAACCAGCAATAATAATAATAGTAAATATGTGGGTTGAAAATATATTCTAGCCATAAACAACTTTGGGCCTCATAGATAAGTTATTAAAATCCATTAACAAAGGGCCAAGAGGGTCATTGTAAGTAAGCCCAACAGTGAAATTTGTAGTTCACTTACACAGTTAGTCAGACTGGCAGCAACCATACTTTAATTTTCCAGAGGAAAACCTGAAATGATTAACCTAATCAATTACCCTGTTTTACATTCTAGACTCATTCTGGTCCAGCATTTTTGTCTAGCCAACAAGCTGCTTACCCTACTGAGCCTGGAAACAGCCAAAGATATTGAGGTTTTAAATTCATCTGGATTCTTCTGTGCCAGAGTAGTGATCAAACTGGTAGCAGCTGTAACCACACCCTGAAAGAAAGCAAGATTACCGTTCCCTTAAAATTTCAGGTTGAAATCCATCCTAAGTACTCAATGTCTTTATTACACAGAAAGAATACAATCAAGTTTCACACACCATATTTTAAGCTTGGGTGGACAGGAATTTCATCTTGTAATGATACTGATTTACAGTTCATAGTCAAGGTGTGTTCAGAATAATGTTGCAGCAACAAACTCTCCCCCTAATATTGCTGAAATGCAGAAAGTTTGGGGTAACTGGAAATAGATAGGCATGTTATAGGATTGTGAGCTTGGCTGTCAAAATAAGATCCTCAGCTTCACAGCTGCTCACAAGACCACCATGTTCTTTAATTTGACACTGTTTTTCATAAGGAACTTCAGGTGCTGAATCTCTGAATTCTGTTCAAAAAAAGAACTACTTAAAAGTCTACTCTACTCTGTTTCAACTGATAATTTATATATATATATATATTTATATATATAACTATAAGAAATATAAACAAGTAAGAACTTTTCATAGCATAGCTCAACATTAATCAACTAGATATTTTCCAATGGTATTTGAGGGGAACTAAAGAGTTAACAGGGCTTTTTTAATTACCCCATCAGGGAAAAGGGATACTGCAGAGCAAAATCTAGTTGTCAGCAATATTTGATCCAATTTCTCCCCCATATTACCTTTCTGGGCCAGCTGTGGATCGGCTGTCAGGAGCACCTGTTTTAAATTGTTCCAGACCTTCTCATGCCATGTCCAGAAGGTGGTGCTGAGGGACCATTGGTTAACCTCTAGCCTTCCTCTTATACCCTATGTTGTCAAACATCTAAATCATCTGGAATTTTGAAGTGGGGTGTCATCAGTAAGCTAATAACAATCCACTCTTTTGTGTTTTACCATCCAGCTCCAAATAAGCAATTGATATTGTTGAACATTAATTACCTAAGTTCAATAATGGGCTGGATGAGGGAAAACAAGCTGAAATTAAATCGAGACAAGACAGAGGTGCTATTGTTAAATATAAAACTGGACACTGGGACAGAGGTTCTGCCTAGTTTGGATTGGCATGCATTCTCCATGAATGAGCAGGTTTGCAGTCTGAGAGTACTCCTTAATTCTCAGTTATCACTGGATTCATAGAATTAAAAAAAGTTTATCCTCCATGATTTTGGAAGAACTAATGGAGCCACAATTCTTGTGGGGCAAAACATACTAAAAATAAAGGCTCCTTCAAGTTGAGCAGGACTTGGACAACCCATGTTGTTTCCTTACAACGTTATGGGGCTGGAACACCTCACACTTTGGATATGATTTGTGGAATACTTCCAAAACACTGGCTAGCATGGACCTATGTTGTTCAATTCTGAACGTTCACAGTTATTATTTACCATATTATGAGAAAACCTCCAACTAGGAAATATGTTCAGCTGTGCTTACCAGATGCTGGTCATTGAGAAGGTGCACAACTCTTGATGTCCAGTCTCCCATTGGCACTAGATCGGGAGACGTTCTGTATAATCGTAGCAAGCATAGGGCTGCACTTTGCTTCACACTATCCATGGTGTCTCTGCAAGACAAATAAAATCCTGTCAATAATTGAAAGCACCTCTCCAAACTCCCTGGGACAGACTTTGTTCAGCCCAGTTATATTCTGGGAAGAAAAACTGTCCTTGTACAGAAGTAATGGGAAATTAATTGTCTAGCTGAGCAATGGATTCTATAAACTTGAACATTTTGTATCACAGTGAGAAAAGGAGATAGAAATCAATTTGTTACTAAAGTAGCATATAACATTTCCAATTACATCAAGTTCTATAGAGGCATTTTTCAGAAGACAGTGGGATAGGTTCATAGGTGCACAGTTAATCTGCTGGCATACCCCTCTAAATTTGGATGGAAAGAAAGCATGTACACCACCAGAAATATACATGTAACTGCAAAGCTTCTAAAGGTATCATCACAACTGGGAAAGGAATATAGCCAATACACATATTTTACTTCATACACTACTTCAACTTATCAACTTTCTTGTGTAAGACAGGGTCACTTGCCTCTGGGAACATTTTCTTTAGCTGCACATCCCTATTAGCTCAGTAAAATAAAAGAGCAAAGGTCTATTGATTTCCACTGCAATTAAACAGCTAGTCTTAATAAAACACATTTCAAAGTGTACAGATGAAACTCGAAAAATTAGAATATCGTGCAAATGTTCATTTATGTCAGTAAGGC